ATGAGAAAGCTAATGTTGGAAAAGAATACCTAGATGACTTTGACATCAATCATTATTTTCTAAATGTTGAATAAGACCAAGATGTGTCATCAAGGGAACTTTTGAAAGCTGAATGTTAAAGTTAATAATTAATCAACACTAGAAAATATTAAATAAATATTTTGGTATCTTGGTGAAAAATATTTTATATTTTTTTATATAACTTGATGAAGAACAATTTGATAGTATGAAAAAAATCATTTAACATGAGAGCAAATTTTGCTGGGAAAATAAAAAATGTCATTTTACTGTCAATGTTGCTTTTCAAGTATTGATAAATATTGAGTTAATAATTAAGATCTATTTACAGTTGTCAATCAACTGTATTTTTATCTAAAAAACACTTTTATTAAACAACATGTACTAATAAATTTTCCAAACCTCATCCATACACTCAAAAAACAAATCTCCTAGGCTAGAGAATCTCTCAAATAATTGATTTATTTCAGCGATAAATTCCATGTCCCAGTATCTAAATAAAAGACCTATCAATTGTTAATAAATATTATTAACTACCATAGCATTATTTACCGATGTCGATCTTAAAACCTCTTCAACAAAAAAAAAGTAATAATTTGCTTTGGAAAAAAAAGTATCACGTGATGCTAATTTACTTCTTTACATCATAATTCATGAAATTAGTTAAATTTAATTCTGAAATAATTTAATTATAATTTAAGTATGACCAAGTAATTAGAGTTTATAATTTACTTTTACAGGTAAAAATTTTTAATAACACGAGAAAAATTATTAAATATTAACGTTATTAAATGAAAATTTACGTATTCATGTTCTCTTATTTTTTTTCGACATCAAAACTACCAGGTAGATACTGATTAAGAGTTTTAATTAAATAAATTATTAGATAAGAACACACTTTCTTTCAGGAAAAAGAAAAAAATTTCAGACCAATTTAATCTTTTTAAATCCAAGTTAATAATGTGAAGACTCTCAAAGCATAATTAAAAAATAAAAATTATCTTCAATTTATTTTTTACTAAAGACTTGAAGGCAAATCAACTTTTATAATAATATATTAACTTAGAAGGGAGTACTTAAAAGATGATTAAAACATGTTTAATAGATAATTAAAGTATTGATTCCATTGTTAATGAGATAGTATAAATATAAATGAGTGTTGACATTGGTAGATGAAAATACGTGATCGTGCAAATGAAAATTCCATTACCCATGAAATGAAGAATCCTTTATAGAGAAATAAAGTGACATAGAGCGATCGGGCTATACATATATATACAGTATTTGCCCATTCGTCTAAGAGAGGCCTTGTGAGTCATGTCACCTGCCAATTTCATGTCCTATCCTTCGAAGGCACAGAGAGCGCAGAAGTGCCTCAAGGATCGCAATACGAAGAGAGAATTCTCTGGTGGTATACAAAGACTCTAGACTCCAGACTCCACTAGACAGTGGAACAGGAAGAAAAGAAAGCGCCAAGACTTGTCGCCGTTACGATACGTGACGTTTTGCACGTGATTCTTGGCAGTTGAATCTTATAAGGAATGGGGACGGATGTCGTGTGGCTTTCAAGAGTTCTGTTTGAGCTCTTGGGGACATAAGAAACAGAGCAACGATTTGTTTGATTTAGAATGTATATAAAACATTTTAGACTAATTTTGTTTACTCATTTTCACCACTTATAATTTTGTTCAGATCATTTTTGCGGTTTTCCATTTTTTTGTGATAGCTTTGATAAAATTTCTTGGATTTGTGTTATTTATCAATATTCAACAGATGAGTTGAAAAAAATGCTGGATAAAGGATTGAATATCAATGATGTCAACATGGAAAAAATATTGAAAAAATTGTATGCAGTATTTTTTTTATCATAATTGAATTTATTTAATATTGAAAAAATATTAGAAAAATTGAAATTTATTTCCTCTCTTGTATATTCTAGTTTTTATCTGATACTAAATGAATAATCAAGATATTGATCTCTTTAAAAATATAATTCATCAGATTATTTTATGATTTTGATTTTAAAAAAATTGATTTGATTGCCATTAAAAGAAATAAGAAACTTTAAAAGTAGCTGGTGGTGTAAATAAATTTTTTTTTTTAACAAAAAATTGCTTGTTAATTTTCTGAATCATGAAACTTTGCAATAAAAACCTCTTCCATGAAAAAATTTCTTTTTCAATTGCGCAAGTATAGAATACCAATATCGTACTTGGGAAGAGAAAAAAATTCCAAAGTGAAGAATCAAGTTAAAAAAATTAAATTTACAAGTGAATAGAAACCACTATTACTACAAGTTTTAAGTTAAAAAATTCTGCAATATTCCTCTCATCGATATTCCATTGCTGCTAAAAAATACTCTAAAAGCATGACATGTTAATTTAACTTGAAGATTGCTAGGGCAAAAAACGTAAGAAAAACTAAAGAACACGACAGAAGCTTCAGGCGAATCGAGAAAAGGAAAATAAGATAGAAAAAATAGGAATATATAGATGAGGATCGGAAAGTTTAGAATGCATTAACGTATTCTGAACGAGCCAATAAGATGTTTCTTTACGGTTTTTTTTCCTCTTAGATCTTGTATTGAGAACAAGTATCAACATTTCTTTCTCTCGGTACTAACTAGGTAAAGAAATAGCTTTGAATATTTCTGAAAGAAAAAAAAGAAATAGATTTGGATAAAAATGCTAAAGGCAACTTTTATGACAAATAAATTCTTTGTTGGTATTCAACCTCTGATAAACTGACAAGTCTGGATACAAATCGGGAATGCGACATTTGCAGAAGGGAATGTTTACTCGAGATACGTCCGAGCATGACTTTGATATGGGTTTACGACTTCTAGATTGACTCTCCCACGTCGCTTCAAAAGGACATTCTTTGTGAAGGACTTTTTTAGTATGTTTGTTTTATAAAACTTGCGCTATACTAAACTTTAAGAGTTGACAAGTCATTGCTAGTACAGTGATCGCCAAGTTTTTCAATCTCAATTTCCAATGTTAACTTTCCTACCAGATTGAATATGATGCTAGCAGCAATACTACCAACAACATACGTCTGTAAAATTTTTATTACTGGTACTGTCGTATTTCAAAGTATGATGTGAGTAATGCCCCATAAATGTTGTTTAGAGTTTTAGATACATTACTTTTAACTCAATGAAATAAGTGGAAATGTTACGATTTTATGGTTCAAGTTAAGAATGATGCAAGGTTGATTTGATTTTCAGGCATTCCCTCTAAAAACAATTTCACTCCATAAGTAGCTATGATTTATTGTTTTACATTTTTAATTTTTTTTTAACTTAAAAAATAAAAAACTAATTAATTTTTTTATAATACCTGAAAGTTGATATCAATGATCAATATGATGTAATACTTGAAAGTGATAAGAAATGAAGGTAACTAGGAAAATACAAGATATCAAGTGCAAAATGGGAAAAATATCGAATATTCATTTCACTACAGGAGATTGCTATAATACGAAGAGAACACAAAAATAAAACTAGTTGAAAATATTGGATTAGTGAGGAAGTAATAAACGCATTTGAGTAGAAAATTATTAGGGAAGCTTGTAATATTAATTCAGGTTCTAATTGAAATTTGATTGAAAATAGGAAATCACTGTCAGAATCGGATTATTTTTCTCACAGTTTTCTATCTACATATTTATATAAAAAAATAAATTCATAAATATTTTCGTTGATTTATTTCCTAAAAAATTTGAGTAGTTGAAATTCAAAGTTTATCAGCATGTAGAAAAATTTTATCAACCAAAACATCAAGAGGATATAATATTTTTAAAATTAATAACGAATTTAGTTGATAAGTAACATGGCAAAAATGAGTAGTGGGATTAATTTTCAAAATGAAAGTACTTGCTGATGCATGCACATATAATGAAGTTTATTGAATACTTTAAAAGCATGTAAGTTAACGATGAAATGTATAAAAGTGTTGCAGGAAATCTATTAAACTCCTAGAGAAACATCGAGTGAGAACAGGAAATGGCTCGTCAAGAAACTGATCACTTTTTTCTCTTTCTCTTCTCTTTTATCCAGCCACAACTTTTTAATCTGGTTCAAAACTTACTGAGAGCTTTCGTTTTTCCTCTTACGCTCAACATAACGATTGCTATCTAACATTTTCTGCACTAAGCACTCTGTCGATTCGCATGGAATACGGTAGCTAGACGCGGATGAACAGAAAAACGAGAATGAAAGAAACCGAATGAAAAAAAGAAATGTTCTAAAGCGTGGAGTAGTTTTCAAGTCGTGGTGAACGCAAGTGAACCTCCGAGAATTGCTGGAAGCTTTTCGACCTTCCGGAAATTTTAATTGAACGTCAGTACAGAAAAAAAATATCCCAAACTATTTGATTTGTTCAGTACAAAGTCTAGCAGGATTCAATTTACTACTTGTCCGCCTTTTTTTCTTTCCTTTTTTATCATTCTTATATTGAGTACAATCGGATTTTAGTCTCAAGGAATGTTAAAAGGAAAGAAGCAGTCAACAAACAAATACTAGGTTGCTTCAACATTCAGAGATATCATTTTCTATGCAGACAACAGATAAGCATTCAAATGTTTGCGAGAATTCATTTTCTATTCAAAATTACTTTGATAATTAGTATCATCTGTTAATTAATACTAAATTACTTTTAATGAATTTTTTTCTAGCAAGTTTATTCTGCAAGGAATTCATTGATGGGATAAAAAAAAATAATTATAAATTGAAAATATCAATCTTCTACCACATGAATAATTTCGTATCAGAAATAACATTATATAGGTATAAATGAATTTTATCCATTCATCAGTTTCATACATTTTTTAGCTGCTAATATGAAACTTCAACTATAGATAATTAATTAAAATTTTTTAAAAGTCATGTTTATACAATGCAATAAAAAATTAACAACATCCGTTGAGAATTAATACTATAGAGAGTTAAAATATAATTTTTTTAGTTACTTAAATCTTACTTTGTAATTTGAGATTATGCCTTAGAGATGTTTAGGTAGAGATTAAATGGCTTTTAAAACCTCTTGAAGTTTCCAATCCCTCAAGGATTTTCCAAAAATATCTGCAAAAAAAATTTCATCAGCAAAATACATTTCAAATGAAGTTAATTAAGTTAAGATCAACTAAAAACTAAATTTATCCGTTTATTTGTTTAATTATTTATTGAAGTATGTTTTGACAAGTTATTTATGTAATTGTTTCATCATTATGACAATGACCTGTTTGATTTCATGTATTCTTTACTTCTACTAAAATGAAGACCAAGAGTACTTTTACGTGATCCTTTAATAGCGTAAGCTACTTTCAATGAGAATTAACAACGACTGAAAATAAATTCATTACATCATTGTAATTTCCAACAATTAAGTCTAATCTAAAATACTTAAATTTGAGGTATTTAATTACCATCCAAATCTTTTTAAAGTAATTTTGGTTTATAAGATAATTTAAAGTATGTGGAAAATACAATACAAGTTATGAATAAACATAACTTAATCCTGATGAAATTAAAAAATTATAAAAGGCATCAATTTTTGTTTTGAAAACAAAAGATTGAGTATTAGAAGTGAATGAAATATAAGTAGATAATTGTCCACTCGAAGTCAAAGGATATAATCCTGCAATTCATCTTGCTGTCAAGCTTTGAGATAAAGTGACCCACTTTTTTCAAATATTTTTTGCTCGGTCTTTTTTTAATTTTTTCCATACATTCAGAGCAAAAACTCTCTTATCACGCTGGGAATTCGAGGGCTGTGAGGATCGTTGAAACAGCAAAAACTTCTACCAAACCTCGTCTCATTTTAGCTTTCACTTCCATCGTCTATGTCATTGATGGTTTTTTGCTAACTACTGCACTGGCTATCGTCTTTTATCTCCATTTACTAATATGAGTTTGCGACGAATTTTACTTCTAAAAAGTACACAAGGAGACTCAAGCTGATATTGAAAAAAAAGTGTTGGATTATTGGGCGAGAACAAGAACTGTGTAGGGAAGATATGAAGCTCAGTTTTTACAATTCCGTGTGCACTTGCGATTTTCATATGAGAATATAATGAAATTTTATGCAAAAGGCTTCGGTACGAAGTGGGTGAGAAAAAAATAACAAAAGGAATGTGGAAACGAGCGAATTGTTTTATAAAGATGTAATGAAAAAAAATTTTTTTTCATATAAACAGATGTAAATTCAACAAAATTAATGTACGAACGATGAGGTAAAAATAGTGTATATATATATATATATATATATATATATATATATATATATTTCAGAGAAAATAAAATAAATAGAATGCAAATTCTAGTGTGTAAATAAAATTGGAAAAGAGTGTTGTGAAATAACCGAAAAAAATTTTTCCCACAAAAATAAAGTATTACAAATGGTAGCTGATTGGATTGTCATTTAAAGGGTGCTCGTTGGATCGTCAAAATTGATCGTTAGCGAAGCACACAGTTTGAAATGGTCTATAAAAATTTTTTTGTCTTTTTTTCCACCCTTATTCCTCGTGACTGGAGTTTTAGCCTCCCACCAGTTTGCTCTTTCGCAACAATATTCTCATTCGCAAGTTAAACGATTCTAGGTGGAAGATAGGGGGATTTGATTGCACATCGGTTGAAAGTCGGTAATGAACCTCGATCGTTGGGACGATCGTGCAGGCGTTGGCAATTTGTGAAAAAGTTAAGAAAATCAACGATAAATGCTTTAGCAGGGTGAAACCATGTACATCTGTAGTCTATGAAAAATGTACGTAATATCGAAAAAATAGAGTGTAACTAGAATATATATATATATATCGATCAAAGTACGAAGTACGAGTAGAACCATTCATGCATTTATATGAGTGTATATATAGTCACCTATTTTTGGAGCAAACGAAATGCTGAATCGGTAATGGCTTATCTCGACGTTGAGAAGGGAACCGAGCAGTTGGGGGAATCGTGAAACGACCAGAGAAAAGGGTTGTTCGTGTCGCAAGCGAATGAAATCAACGAGAGGAATATTATTCGATAGAGGAAGTTCGTTAAAAGCAGAACCGTCAACGAATCGATGTCGATCTATGTCATCCGTTTTGCATGAAACTTGAGACTTGATTTCACTATTTTAATGAAATCATATCATATCACAGGATTTTTTCTGTTCTTTTTTGTTTTTTTTGTGAGGAAAAGACATGAATATTAATTCAGCTATTCTTTTAATATGGCAGCGGTTGGAATTGAAGGATCGGTAGAACAAGAAAAAAATTATTGATTTTTCAACAGATGTGCTAGGAATAAAATAATGCGATTTTTATCACCTCAAAAAAAACACCTTTAGAACAAAATTTACAAGCATGAAGATAGTTTATACTGATTTTTTTTTTGGAGATAATTTTTCTTAATTTAGATACGTTATTGAGTTTCACATAAAATGGAGAATTTATTGTTCCCATAATTTAAAAAAAGGAAAAATATCTCATCGATGAAAATTTCTAGGTTCAAAAATTATTTCTCAGTGAAAAACAAATACCAATGCTGATATTTGATTATAATTTACTCCCGCGAGTTTGGCTATGATTTACGAAGCAAAAAATATCCTATAGCAGAGATAATTAATCAAATATTCTTTGGAAAAAATATGATCTCATTTCAATGCATTATTCAAATAACGCAAGCTCTAGTAACTTTATAGATTTTAATTAAAGCAATGTTTACATAATAAACATATCTACTATAGAAATATTAGTTTTAGAATAAATGTTAATAATATAATAAGCAAAATAACAGAAGAATAATTTACATCGAGGATAATGCTTACCCTTCCAATATTCATTATTAGGCTTATAAATTAATTTTCATTGAAATTTTTATTAACGAAATTTAATATATTTATCGTTTTTTTGAGGGAATCCTTATTATTATCTTTTTACATGGTTCATTGATGAAAAAAATTACAACAAAAGTTTATGTGAAAAATATTTTAATAAATAAAATTCCATCACCAACTTTGAATATTAATCATTATTTTCGGGGTAAACAAAGTTTTAATAAGTGTATTTCTCATTATTATTAAAAGAAAAAAACACCTTACTAAATACTGAAATTAAAGTTCAACTTTAATTATGAAGTATGATGAAAAAAGGCGGAAAAATAGATGTCAACGAGATAGGGATAAAAAAACGCGACATTTACATGGTAATATATCATGGAAAACATGTAAAAGACAGAAAAATTGTTAGGGCAATAAACAGGGGGAGAAAGTAATGAGAGTATGTAGGAGGACTTTTGTACGATGCATGTGTAGTACACATGTCAGTGGTGCTAAGAGTAACTGTGTGTATGGCTGACAGAAAATTGAGCTCGACCACTAGGTAAGTTAATCTAGTCTTGTGGGTGCATTTACTTGGTTAACGAGAATACATTATCATTTTTCAAAATAAAACAAAAACCAAATTTGTGACTATCTAAAATCTCTTGAAGAATTTCGTTTTCATTAAATATTCTCATTTTACACTTCTACCAAAACAATTTATGCTAATGAAAAATTTCTTACATTTTTTTAATAAATTTATTGAGAATTTATGGCTAATTTTTCTTCTTTGCTTTGAATTCATTAATCAACATTTTTTTCAACAAATAGCCAGTGATTTTCAGCGTTGGGTAGCGGCAGTATTTTATAAATATTTATGTACTCATGAGGTAAAATAGTATAAATTCCTATCCAGAAGATTAAAAAAAAATACAACGATTATTTTTGAATGAGAAAATACTTGTTTAAAAATATTTAAGCGATGCATAATGATGCAAGACGAAAAATTGAAACTTAGAAGTATGTTTTAATATACTCTGGCATACTTGCAAAAAGTCTGTATATTTAATTATAAAATTGCTACAGTTCTAAAAATTTTTATAAATTCAAGTAAGAAATAAAATATAGTTATTAGAGTTTAATGACATAATTACTTAATAATAAATCCTTTATTATGACTTTTAGAATTATATTGAAAAAATTTAATCACGGATGTGACCTTATATAATACTGAAATATTTTTACAATAAAATTTTTTTGAAATAAAAATAAAATAACTATTCAATAATATTAAATAAATATCCGAATATATGAAAATGTAAATAAATATCTGTGGAAGATACATTTCCATTTCCAGTGTGAATAAATGCTAACAAAGAGTCTTTGGCGTGTGCATAAAGTGGTGCAATGACGTGTAGTGTCCAAATAGCAAAGTAAAGTGGAAAGTATAAAAAGAATAAATTTTGAAAGCTCTTCTTTTTATACATTTTTTTCCACTTTTACTCTTGCTCTGGCTCTCGCGTCGTTCAAGGATCCAATTAGCGCCTTTCCCTAGCATTTGATTTCTCCCGTTTCGACGAGCTCGAATAATGAATCGCTCCAGAGTCGTGCCTTTTAATTTGAACCTCAAATGCTGAGAGAAAATTTTATGAAGTACCAAAGAAACGATTTCTCACAATCTCGTTTGACAAATTTGCTAGGCAACGAATTGGAAAGTTTAACTTACGCGGAAATTAATCGGATATTTTAGTGTCATTTTATTTTATTAATGACGCCTTTAATTTATATTTCAAATATTTATTCTTTTTATTTATTTAAAAGCAACTGTGAAGTTAAAGCTGGGAAAGAATTAAAGCTTATTCAAAACTATTTGATCGATCAAGGAATGCAAAGACAAATATTCAAATATAATATTTTATAGAGTTTTGAGTTGCAAAAAAATGTTTAATGTATTGGCAAATGTATATTAAAACATTTATTTTAATCAATACTCTTTGGAATAATAAATTGATTATAAATAATGCTATCAATTTTAAAAGCAATTTTTTTCCAATAACATGAACCAATGAGATGATCAATAATTCCTCTCAATGGTAATATAGAAAATGTATTCCTTTAACATTTTCAAAATTGCCTGCGCTTGACAAATCGATTGGAATCATTTTATGACAATTCATTATTAAGTAAAAACAAAAATCAGTCAATAAAATAATATTTGTTATTATTTAGAGTAATCTCGTGATTTAAATTCAAGTAATCAGAATGACATAGACTGTTG